CGACTGACCTAACAGATGGCTGGATCATTTTCTAGTGTAAGTCAGCAAAAAGAAAAGGCAGTAGTATTGTAATCAAGTATTTGTCCCAGGTCACAGTTTTCAACTGAACAAGGACATCCTTGCACTTGACTGAAGAGCTACTGGATTCTACCATTCACTGGAATGAAATAAAGTTGCCTGTTCAAGAACACAGGTTCACAAGTGTTGGTCTGGTTCACTTTTTTCTTTTAAGATTTTTTTGGGGGGGGGGGGGGGAAGCAGGGGGGTGAGAGATAAACAGACTCCGTTCTGAGTGAGCTCAGAGCCTGATGCAGGGCTCACATCTCACGATCCTGAGATCATGACCTGACCTGAAATCAAGAGTCAAGGCGCTTAATTGAGCTACCCAGTTGCCTCTGGATCACTCCTTTTTAATAAGGAAACAGCTGGGCTTTGCAGAAAGCTGACCCAAGCTTTAATCCTGCCTGTAGCCCTTTGCTTGGAAACTTGGGCAAGTCCATAACCTTCGAGCCAAAGGACATGCAAGCCAGCACCTGGCTCATGGGAAGTGGCTAGGGAAGTCCTCAGTTGTAGAAAGTCCTTCAGAGAGGCAGAGTTGAGGACAGCCCTCAGGGCACCACTTCAGCCAAAGTTCTGAGTATCAGGTAGCAGAGAGAAGCAAAAACAGCTGCTGTGTTCTTTCTACAAGCTACAGGAGTTCTTAGTGCAAAGAACAGACAAGGAAGCAGTGGGACTGCCCCAGAGCCTTCACAGCTCTATGCTGAAGGAGTGAAGTCGCGCAGGTTCAAGTCTCAAGCCAGGTTTGCTGTCTCCAGCTGATGGACCTCACCCAGACCTTAGGAAGATCAGATAGTGGAGGTTTAGTGGGCTGTGAAGCGTGGCTTATAAAGAACTAAAGATAGGTCAGTGACTGGAATGAATAGGGTATATTTCCTGAACTATGTTAAGATCAGTCTGAAGCTATGCAGGAATATGGAGTTTTCGCCTACAAATACATCTACTGTCGATCATCTTCACGGGAAAGTAACTTACGCTAAAGTTCCTGTAGCTTGCAGGAATTTGACAACAACAACAACAACAACAAAAATCTTGTAGCGGTTATAGGGGTTAGTCAGGTTAGTCATTCATTTGACAAAGCCCAGGTCTCCTGTGGGATCCCAGTTTATGGAAGAGGAAATCAAGGCTCCTGGGCTAAGCACGCTCAGGAAGTGGTGGATTCATGTAGAGCCACGTATCCTGAGCCTTCAGATTTCAGCACGAAGCATCCAGCAGAACTGACCGAAAAAGGAAGCATCAGGGCCTTGTACTGACACCTGGAAGCCGATCTAAGGGTTTTGTTGGGGTTACCTAAGTAACCGACACCAGATTACCCAAAGCCAGCCTAGGAGTTTAAGATTTAAGGAATCACTTAAGTAGGTTTTTAAGACACTAATTGCTTTGAGATTCAATGCAAATTCAGGGGATGCTCTGATTCCTCACTCCCTCTAGGGCAGCCTGGTGGGCCCTTAGCTAAATATTCGAAAATCATGCAGCCCCTGAACAGGGGTCCCCTGTTCTCAGTTCACAGTGGGGGTGGGGAAGCAAGTCAATCCAGCAAGGAGAGGACTTAATTTGGCCTTAATCTGAGAGTTGACTGACTGGCCTTAAACTGGGCTGTGCAGGAAAGGCTCAGAAATAGCAGGGACGATAGGCCCAGGCAGGCACTGTGCAGAGCAGCAGAGCTGAAAGGCACTGGGGATGGCCCCTTGTGACCCAGGCACAGAGCTACTAGAAAGCTAGGCTGAGGCTGGATCCCCACAGGGCCTTAGAGACCAACATCCTCTCCAGGCCTACATCTTGAGATAGAAGATGTGTGGGGTGCTGACAAGGTTTGAGATTACTGCGATGATTCACAGTGCCTGGATAGAGGAGATTTAAGGGAAATGGGTCTCCCAAGAGGAGACTGATTATGAAAAGCAAAGGAGGGGGGCCTGGAACACTGGGTCTGCTTTGAAGTTTGAGCTGAAAACAGCCAGAGTCAGATCCTTACTGCAGCTCAAAGCTCTCACCTAGGGAGTAAACATTTAACTTAAATGAAAAACACTCTCAACCTTATGGTCACGTATGCATCATACCCTTAGCCTGTATGCACAGCAGACGCCGCTCGCTTCCACCAAGCCTGGACCCATAGGTCTAGGTCTTGGTTACTAAAACCTAACATTCCTTTCTGCTTTTCTGCTCCTACTTGATGTATTGAGACCTGCAATAAAAATGGAGACTGAGTCTGGCTTGGGATCTTTTCACCCCTAGAGCATCTCTCCCTCTCCTTTCTCCTATTTAGGTGTGTGGAATAATCTTTTCATTCGCTGCCTCAGGGTTTACTGGCCACACCCAGTAGGTTACTCTGGCTCTGAGTGGACACAGTAGTTAGGAAGTGGTTAAAGGATCCTGGATGAGGCGTAGAAGCTCAGAACCTGGTGGTGTTGGGGAGATGAAGGGATAGATTTGAGAAATGCAGGCATTCAAGGAATCAGATTTGGTGAGGGGTTAAACGCGGGGTGGGGGGGGCGGGGGGTGAGGACAGGGCTGGGTAAGGTCTGGAGCCAAAGTAGTCAGAAAGACAGGGTGACCATGGGAAGGGAGCCTCAGAGAAACAGCCCTATGGCAGGAGCGAGCGAGGGGGGTCTTAGGTTTAATCTCAAGAAGTGCCTTGGGGACTTCCCTAGAGAGATGCTGGGGAGGCAGTTGGTAACAGGTGACATGCTGAGAGAAGTAGCTGGACAGACATGTAGAAAAGGAGCCACCAGGATACTGACATCCAGGGTCCCTCCTAGAGAGGGGAAGCAGGCTGTTGGTTGTAACAACAAAGGTGTATGTAGAGGAACCCAAGGAAAAAGTGCCAGAATGACAGCTAGCCACAGCTGATACTACTCAGGTGTTACTGAGCCTTTACAGCTGAGAGACAACCAAGCATACCAACCCCGAGACAAGCCAGAGGAAGAATGCCCTGGGGTCCCTCTTCCCTTTCAACCTTGTAACTTCCTGCCTTGTCCTGCTATCCATAGACTGGTTTTTGCTTTGTTTTTAAACTAGGGGAAGCATTCCCACCCCCACCCAAACTTCAAGCCCCCAGATCAATAGGACTTCCTAGGCTAGCAGCAAACCCTCCTACCTGGGTTTTGAGAATGTTCTACGTTGAGTTTTAGTCTCCTTGTGAAGTAGCGCTAAGTTCAACAAGGCTTTGTACATGAGCTAAAGGTTACCAGCTTGCAAGAGTTCAAGGCTGGTGCCTTAGATTTACTTGCACGAGGGTCCTTCTGTTACATAAATATCCCAGGGGTGATTTTAAATCAACCTGTTCTGAACCCAAGTCTCATTAGGGGCTGATAAACCCTGGTTTCTCCAGAGTTACAGCTACCACTTGTTTCCGGAATCACCATTTGATATCAAGACTTAACATTTCTAGGGTCCTTCACCGAACTACCTTCCCAGCCACTGCTTCCTGATCAAAGGGCACACGTGGGGTACCGGGGTCACCCGTTTGAACATCTGCCAGGTGAACACTCTAGACAAGTCACAGGAAAGTTAATATCAGGAATATGTTCCTAAGGGCTGAAAACTTGGGATTTAAAATAAGGTGGTCAGGGAAGGGGACCTTCACTGAGCAAGTGATACTGTAGCAATTAGTTTCTTCCGGAGAGAAGAGTAAATTGCCAAGGACCTAGGGCAGGCGTATCTTGGGGCATTCCTGGAACAAGGCAGACAGTGTGCAAGAGAAAGGTACAGGGGAGAGCAGTAGATGGAGTCTCTCCTAACCCTGAGACTTGTTACCTAGGGCCCAGTCAGCAGTCTTAAAGGCTTTAGCTTGGAGACTTGGGAATTCCTATAAACTTTAAGGTGAGAAGTAGGTTTCAGTTTATAGAACACACAGGCTGCAACCTGAAGAACAGACGGAGGTGAAGGTGGGGGACGGTGATAGGAGCAGAACAGGCGCATAACAAACACCTGCGATAACCCAGGTGAGCCTTGGTTCTGTGGGACTAACAGTCAAGGAGGCAAGAAATGGTTAACCTGGGTAGATCTGGAAACAGAGCTAACAGGTCTTTCCAGTACATTAGAGAAAGGTTTTTCAGCTTGGACTTCAGTACCCACAGGTGCTTTACATATCCTCACTTAGCCGCCCCTCAGGAAAGCTGTGTCCCCCTACTGAAAAAGGCTTAAAGCAGCATCTCAGAGCCCTCGCTTTTCCCATTTTCACACTGCCTTGATCTTAAAAGTGGAAGTTCCCCCTTTCTTTCTGCCTCCTGACTCATAAATCCTGGTTTTCCTAGAGCCTACATGCCCTTCGCTCTCCTCGGCTTCTTAGGTTTCTAAAGGAAGTTATGAGAGAGTTCTGGCCCAGCAAGGCATATCCCTGAAATCTCTGCTGCCAGCGGCTGCTTTAGAGGAAGGGCGACTCCTACTCAGGCATGTTTTTAAGAAAAGAAAAAGCACTGTTCGCAATCCCTGCGAGGGCCCCGACTCCGCCGGAAAGCTAACAGCCCGGGAACGCCCGCTGCGCAAACACAGGGTAGAAAACGGCTTCCCCAGCACGGCCCCCGCCCCCAACAGCGTGCTGGCGCGTTGCGCGGTCCCGCACTTCAGCCTGGAGCGGCCGGAGCAGCCCGCCCACCCTGCAGTCCGCAAACTCAGCAGCACCCAGAAGCGACCCGACACTGAGCCGGCTGCCCACGCCGCATTTTTACGAGGCCGCGTGCAACGTCACTTCCGGGGCGGGACCCGCGCGGGGGTGGGGGAGGGGCGGCCCGGTCCGCGCAGCCTCATGCGGGCTGCAGCCGCCGAGCCGAGCGCTTGACTATATATGGTCAAAGCTGGGGGCGAGCCGCGCGCGGGACCGCGCTTCCGGGTTCGGCGCGTCCGCAGCGGCAGCGCGCAGGGCAGGGCGCGAGCCGGCCTCGGAGCCCCGGCCTCGGACCGCCCCCTCCGCCCCCTCCGCGCCCGGCACGCCCGGCGCCGCCTCTCGGCCCCCGGTCCCTGGCCCGGCCTCTGCCAGTCTGCTTCGCGGCGCGGGCGGCTCCGGAGGTCTTAGCGAGCGCGGCGCGGTAACAAGTGGGCGAGGATGCCGTACGAGATCAGTAAGTGCCGCGGCCCGGTGCCCCCGGGGATGGGCGTCCACGCCGCCGGACCCCCTCGGCCATCGGCGTGGCGCGGGGCGCGGGCGGCCCGCCTGAGTCCCCGGCCGCGGGGGAGGGGAGAGGGAGCGTGCGGGCGAACGCTCCTCCGCCCTCAGGGCGCCCGGCGGCGATCCCCGGCCCAGGGGGTGCCCCAAAGTTGGTGCTGCGGGCTGGGCCCGGGGGAGCCCCCGCGTTCCTGAAGGGCCTGGTCGGGAACGCGGACCAGGAAGTCGCGCGGTACCCTGCGCTCCTTCAAAGTGGCGGCCGCCCCTCCCGGTGGAGGCAACAGGTGACCGGCTGAGACCGGTCCAGGTCCCCTCTCTCGTCCGCTCCCGGCCCCCGGTTGTCAGTTCGGCCGGGGGCCGAGGTGGGGGCTGCCCCTAATGCGCCCTGCCTGGTTTGTGTCTCCGCAGAGAAGGTGTTCGCCAGCCTCCCCCAGGTGGAGAGGGGCGTCTCCAAAATCATTGGCGGAGACCCCAAGGGCAACAATTTTCTTTACACCAATGGAAAGTGCGTCATTCTAAGGAACATCGACGTGAGTAACCCCTTCCTACCTACCCCCTAGGCGCGGGTTCAGACCCTGGGTGCAATTCCCAGGTTAATTCTCTCTCCCCGCTACCCCCCTCTTCTCCCACCCCGCAGCCTGGGGAGGGTGAGAACGCCACGCCCCCTCAGCCTGGGGACCACACCTCGGAAGCCTAGAAGACTGTTTCAGGCTTATTTAGGCCCTCTTCTCTCTCTTCCTGGGGAAACTGAGGCTTGGATTAGTTCAGACCAGGGCTCTGGATTGGGGGATCAGACACACCCAGTCAGCAGCTGCTTGACCTTGGGGCCGTTGGTGACTTAGGCATCTGAATCCCAGTGTCCTCATCTGTAAAATGGAAGTGATGATGAGATGAGGCTCCCTTCCCCCCCTCTTCCCCGGACTGCTGTGACCGCTGAATGAGATGATGTGTCCCTCCAGTCCAGCATGCCTGGCGCACACCCAGCACTTGGTAAATGGTACTTATGTATGATCATTATTAACACCCAGGGTCTCAGTGTGGCAGAGCCAGCAGGACCCATGCTCAGACCTCTGCATTCCAACCTGGTGTGAGCCCCAGTGCAAAATCAGGAACTAGTTTATTCCCATGAATCATTTAGACAGACGTCCTGTACCCAGGCTGAGAATGCTTCTTGAGCCAATTTCCTGGGAAATCCTTGCAAATTCTTACTTCTCTGTAATTACTGAAATGACCCAGTCTGCTTTTTGGTCTCCCCACTGCTGGGATTGCACACTGAAATCTTTCTTCTCCCTTCCGCAGGCCGAGTTACGGTATGGGGGAGGGAAGGTGGAAGTACCAGCACAGCCATTTGTGGGGGGAGGGGTTCTCCTGCACTGTGCTTAGGGTTGGGCCTCTGCCCAGTATGTAGGTGGATGATTCTGATTGGTCATGCTCCCAAGGGATGTCAGGTTAGTTTCACATCTGTTGCAAGTGATTACCCCTGGTGGGTCGGGATTGTTGCTGATCAGAGGCAGTTGCCCTCTGGGACCTCACAACTGGCTAAGGGAGTAAAGGGGCTCTGGGGGCCGAGCTTTTCTTGCATGTGAAAGGAGAGGGCTCTGCATGGGCTGAGGTGCTGTTGGTGCTTCCCTTATCTCTGGGCAAGCCAGCCAGTCATTGTCATTCCTCTGCTGAAGGACCAGGCTCCGAGTGGCAGTTTCAGCCCTGCCCTGGATTTCTGGGCACCTCAAAAGAAGGGATGGGCGGGTGTGAATGCTCCCCGAAGGTGCCACACTCTGTTGTGCTAGTCTCACGGATTCCTAGAAAGCTGATATGGCCTCACCCAGAACTGAGGGAAACCTTACCAGGGACTTAGATGGTAATGATGGAGATACCCAGGGTGCGGTCCCGAGATTGTGAGTAAATAAAAGTTTGATGGCCCAAAGTAGGTACTTGCTTGTCGTTGAGCAAACAAAATGGACAAGCATTCTCAGGGATATACAGGGTGGGGAACGCTTGAGTTGGCCCCTAAAATTCCTGGACGGGTCATGGCAATCTACATGTGCTTCTAGGTGGGGGGCCTCATGTGAGGTACCTGCCCTTTGTTGGGTGCCACGAAAGTTCTTGACCAGCTGCATCTTTCAGCCCTGTGGGCCCATTGCTCTGCAGAGGGGTCAGGCCAGCAAGGTGAAGGAGGCCGATCCTCAGAGCTGCTTCCAGTGAGAATTATTCATAGCTGCACACAAGCACCTCCACCCCCCTGCAAACATTCCCCTGCTTGTGAAACCTAGTTTGCTCATTTTTCGGAGGTGTTTTGTTTTTGTTTTTGTTTTTTAAATATTTATTTATTTGACAGACATTACGTGTAGGCAGAGAGGCAGGAAGAGAGAGGGGGGGAGGCAGGCTCCCTGCTGAGTAGAGAGCCCAATGCAGACCTGAGCTGAAGGCAGAGCTTTAACCCACTGAGCCACCCAGGCACCCCTCTTCGGAAGTCTTTATTTTTAATGGTACCCGAGTTCACCATTCTCTCTTGAGGGTGCGTCTGCTTTTCTTTCCCAGCTATTTGTAAGTTTCTGTGGGGCCCAGACAGCATGGGAAGCTGCTGATGTGTTCCTGTTCTGGGTGAAAATTAGGCCCTTAGGCTCTTTTTGGGTTGGGGGATCATTGGTACTCAATTAAAGATGGATGCCATTTTTAATGGGGTACAGCATTCCTGGGAAAAAGCTATGGGGAACTCTCATGACCGTTCAGGGAATAGGAAAGATGATGGTCTGGTTATATTACAGGCTTGGGAAAGAGAGGAAACCCAGAAGAAAAGATTGGAATTAGGTCAAGGAATGTCCAACAGATGTCTGCTTGGCCTGTCCAAACCACATTCAGGTTCCCCATGTGTCCTTCCCCCAAAACAGCAGTGCCATTTCTCCAGCCGTTTGGGCCCCAAACCTGGGACTTCTGGATTTCCCTCTTTTTCTTCCATCCCATAGTTCATTTGTCAGTGGATCCTAGTGTCTATTGTCAAGCTAACTTCAGAATCTGACATTTTTTTCTGTTACGTTTTTCACCCTCCTCCAAGCTACCATCCTTTCCAGATTGCAAAACAGAAAACCCAAACTGTTCTTCTTGATTCCAAGGTGGCTGTCCTCCAGTCTGCTCTCAGAGCTCAGCTAGACCAGTTACGTTAAAATACAAGATGGTGTCCATTGCCCCTTTGCTGTGCCTTACCATGCCTGATACAGCCTCACCATCTAGCCTGTCTCTTCCGGTCTCACCCCCAAACCTCCCTCCCCCACCCTTCCCACTCAGCTCCAGGCACTCTTGCTTCCATGCTCTTTCTGAAATCTGTCATCTGTCTGTCTCAGGGCATAGGACTCCATAACACTCCCATCCTGGCCTTTTCTGCCCCTCCGTGCTAACGCAAAGCCAGCCAGCAGGCGGGCCATCCGACGACTGTGTGCAGCTGCCTGTCTCCTGGGACTGGACTGGAAACTCCTTGAAAGCAGGGCTTGGCTCTTCCCTGTTTCATTCACTGCTGTGTCCTCACCCAGGAAAGTACCTGGCCCGTAACAGGTGCTCAGTAAGTTTATCCATTGGTCAAAATGCCTTGAAAGTCAGTCTGTGTCATGGAGATAATAGGCAGCCGTCGCAGGCTTTATTGCCTGGAAATTTAAAAAGCTCAGCTTGCTGAGGTTGCTGGAGCTCAGTTTTGTGGCATTCCCCTCCTTTCAAACCAAACAGGTATCCGTACCCATATGACTTCCTTCCCACTTGGAACCACCGCCGTCACTCATTGTGTTGACTTAAAAGTTGTTTTGTGAACCCAGAATAATGGCACTTCATAAGCTCGTGGAAAAGAATGTTTCTTACCTATTTTCTTTCAACTCACCTGAATTAAAGTATGCAGTGGTGTGGCTATCTACCAGAATGGGAGAGCCTGGTATATTCTCAGCATGGGGGCGGCATGACCACTGCCCCTGCTGATTCTGCAACGACAGGAGGAGTTACTCCCAGTGACCGTGAAGGAGGCTCTTCAGGATTCTGAGCTGCCCAGCATCACGTCCCTGTACAGAACAGCTCTGGCACATGAGCTTCCCAGCAGAGGCCCCTCGAAGACTGCCAAAAGCAGCCAGCAGATTTGCTACAAGGGCAGGTTTGGAGCTTGCTTTTAAAGCAGTCCAGGCCCTAGATTGTAGAACTAAAATATGTATGTTTGACAAAGTTATGTACATAAAACCCAATTCCAGGAAGTGATATATTGCAGTTCAATACAGTCTGCTTCAAAGCACAGTGTGAAGTTCAGCGTTGTTGAACGTGAGTGCTGAGTTTGTCCTGGGGTGATCTGCCAGTCCTGTGCGGAAGGACCACCTGTGCGTGTGCTGCCCATGGGGTGGGGGGAGTCTGCGAAGGGACAGATGGCTCCATAGGGATAGACATTGTCCCTTCTATTTGCACATGCCTCCTGAATCCCTGCTGTACGTCCAGCATGACCACCAGCCCTGTGGGGAGCCCAGATACAGGGGAGGCCTGTCCTACATGGAGCTCGTGGTCTTGGGAGCAACATAAGCTTCCAGGTGGCAGGAGGGAGTGGTGTGTTGGAGTACCACGCGGGCACGTGAGTAGGCAACACATGCGTGTGAGATTGAACCAGGAGAGACCTGGGGGTTGGATCTTTAAGAAGTGAGGAGACAGGCTCAGACCAGGCCACGGGGCTGCCTGGAGCCCAAGTGACGTGGTGGTGACTTACTTCGTGGGCCAGTGATTCTTGGGTGCTTTGGCTGGCCCACATCTAGTCTCATGGGGTTCCCTGAGTGTTACCTGACCCAGGATAGACATTTCCCTTTCCATCCCTGCCCCAATGCCCTGCCCCCCCCCACCTCCTGTACCTCGAGCCCCAGTGAACCGTGTTACAAGTACTTACCAAGCATCTGCTTTGTAGTAGAGCCCCTGGGCCTTTCCTCACAGAGCTCGCAGTCTAGTGGGGAAAACCAGCTCTGGAAACTGGATGGGGCTGACCCTGAGGAAGCACAGGTGCTGTGGTGCCAGACAAATGAGGCAGGTTTGGGCAAGAGGGCCTCTACAGGGTTGTAGAGTTCCAGGGTCGGAGCCTGGGTGTGGGGGGGCTCTAGCTGTGGGCGATCAGGCAGCCCTGTGTCAGAGGCTGCCAGAACCATTAAGAGGTTAGGCAGACTAGTAATATGATTGAATCTGTAGTTGAGATTGTTCTGTACCTAAGATTTGAGGTTCAAGATGAAAACACCCAGCAAATGCTTATCAGCACTTGGTAGAACCGTTCTTTGGTTCTTAATGTTTCCTACATTCACAAAGCTTGTCTTGCTGAGCCCTGCCTGTGACCACAATGTCCAAGATTCAAATCAGTGATTGTGAGGAGATTTTGCCCCCAGCCCCATCCCCTAAGATATTTGGCAACGTCTGAAGATGTTTTGTGTGCTACAGGTATCTGTCATTTTGGTAGAAGCCAGGCATGTCGCCAAGCATCCCATGATTCACAGGGCTGTGCTACAAGTTATCTGGCCCACGGTATCAGTAGTGTTGA